AAAAAATGTGTTGTCAATGCTAATCTCTATGCCAATGCTTAGAACCCTACTCGGGACGGTTTTGTGGTGGGTTTGCAGGACCGTAGGCTGGGAGGGTGGTGTCTCAGGTCACTTTCCTTTATGATGTAAAGAGCGATTGCACAGGCAAGCAAAAGATGATGGAATAAAACAGGTGCCACTGCTGATCTTCAAAGAACCAAGAGCAGGAATTGAGGAGACAGAGGACCTTCCTCCAGAGCCCGCAGAGCAACAAAGCCTTCCATTGAGCTGGCACCCTAAGAGTGGGTGACATGTTGGGCTACTAATCGCAGAAGAGACGTTCCACTGCGGTGAAGATTTACAGCCTCAGTCACCAGAAGACCCAAAACAAACAACCATTTTGATGTGAATGAAGGGGGTCCGAAGGGAGGCCCAAAGCCCATCTGTAGACAATTGGACATCCCCTCACAGAAAGGTCACAAGGAAGGGACCAGTCAGCCACGGTGCAGTATAGCACTAACGAAACATACAACATTCCTCCAGTTCTTTAATGCTTTGTCCCCACCACTATCATGACCCCAGTTCTACCTTACTGTACAGAGCATGTACACTAGTACAGAGAAGCGCTCTTAGGATCAATAATGGGAGTAGCTATATCATGAAGGTAGGGGAAGGTGGGGGGATAATGGGATTGGTATATAACCCTCCCGCCTCCCAGGGGGATGAACAACGGAAACGTGGGTGAAGGGAGGCAGCAGGCACAAGGATCAATCTAGAACCCCTCCCAGGGGGACAAATAATGGCAAAGTGGGTGAGGGGTGACTTAGGACGAGTAAGATATGGAAAAAATCTATAACTTATCAAGGGTTCATGAGAGAGGGTGGGCAGGGAAAGGGGTGAAGAAAGGAGGAGCTGATATCAGAGAATGCTTTGAAAATGATGACGACGGCAAATGTGCTTGACACATTGGGAGGAATGTGTGAATTGTGATAAGAGATGTAAGAGCCCCCAATAAAATATTACACCAAATAAAAGTACTTTATAAATTATCAAGGGTTCACAAGGTTGGGAGGGTGGAGAGTGAGGGGAAAAGAGAGGAGCTGATACCAAGGGCTCAAATAGAAAGGAAACATGGACATGATGATGGTGACATATGTACAAATGTGCTTGACACAATCGATGTTTGGATTGTTATAAGAGCTGTAAGAGGCCCCAATAAAATGATTTATTTAAATAAACAACAAAAAAGGAAAACTCGTAACATGAATAAAAAACAGAGTATTAATCTAGCAATAAAGGTATGATATAAATCTAACAATAAATATGGAAAGAAAAAAAAAAGATTTACAGCCTCAGAAACCTACCAGAGTTGGTTCTATTCTGCTATAAGGCCCGTGTGGGTTGGAATCAGGTTGATGGCAATGACTTGTTATCATTGAGTTGAGCTTCCTCGACTGTGAGAGTCATTTTCTGTTTATGAGAACCCTCCAGTGCTGTATTTCTGTTAGAGCAGCACGCATAGCTAAGACCCAGCTTTCACGCACTCTGTGCACTGAAAGCTCCTTGGCATTTGGTCATAAAGAGATGGAAGGAAGGCAAGTAAGATGTTCGTGCATTAAAATCCAGTGAGCTCACAGAGGGGATTGTGGGGACATGGGGAGCTTACAGTAATGAGTACAAGAATAAAGAAAAGGTTATAGAATTGATTGTGGTGGTGAGTGTATAATTCTTTTTAATAGACTTAA